TCTTACGCCCACTCCAATTATTATTATTATTATTAAATGTGAAGCCGTGGACTTCCTAGTATCCAAAATTGACAGGATTGATTCAGGTGCTTCCAATCCTCTCTCCACTGATCGTACAGTTCCCTCCTTACATATTGTTGATACCATCTCTCCTTCTTTCCTCTCTTTTCTTATGAAACCAACCACTTACTCAGTTTACCCCATTGCCACACAGCTCTTGTTCACCCAGTTGCAGCTTCTCATTACCGTTAGCTGACATCATCAACCTCTCCCTTTTCTCTGGCACAGTACCCCTCTTTTTCAAAGCTATCGTTACTCCTCAACTCCTCCATTCACAGGCTGCAGATCATCCAGAACTCCGCAGCTCATGTCCTCTCCTGCACCAGGCTCTGCAGTCCCATCACCCCTATCCTTGCCCAACTCCACTGGTTTCCCATCACTCAGAGGATACAGCTCAAGATTCAGGTCCTCACCTTCAAAGCCCTTCACGGCCTTGCTACTCCTCTGTGACCTCCTAACTCCCTACCAACCTGCCCGCTCCCTCCGCTCAGTGGGCTCCGGCCTGCTTCCCATCCCCCACCTCACCTGCCCCACCATTGTCGTGTTGGCCTTCAGTCTCTCTGCTCCCACCCTCTGGAATTCCATCTCACAATCCCTCCACCTCGTCCCCTCCCTTGCCTCCTTCAAAATCCATCTCAAGACTCTCCTCTTAGACCTTGTCTTCGATCACGCTCCTACCCCTCCTTCCACCCCTCTTGATCCCAACCACCAGCTCAGGTGCGGATCCCTGGCTGTCCAGCACCTTGTGACGTCCTCTTGATGTGAAAGACACTATACAAATGTAATTTGTTGTTGTTACATCTTTCTCAAACAAAATTCCCCAACTCTCCCATTACTATCCCAACTCCAATTTCCCTTCCTCCCCAAAGTGCTGGAAGAAGTCATCAACTCCCAGCTCCATTTGTTCCTCCATTCATTCCAGACACAACTTTTTATTTACATTTACATAGCTCCTCTCACGCAAGATAGCGTCCCAGAGCGCTTGACAGTAGCAGAGCACGACCCCAAGCCGGGTGGAGGTGACCAAAGGCACGGTTGAATAGGAATGTCTTCAGGCGCAAGCTGAAGATGGGGAACGAAGGGGCAAGGTGGAAGGATAGAGCAAGAGTGTTCCAGAGTTTTGGAGTGGCTGAAAGCCCGGCCACCAATGGTGGAACAGAGGGCAGAAGACCGGAGCCAGTCGAGCGGAGGCAGCGAGTTGTGGGGTAAGCAGGTCGGAGAGGTAGGGAGGTGCCAGGGCATAAATGGATTTGAAAACGAGTGTGAGTATCTTGAAATTGATCAGTTCAGCGATAACCAGTGGATCCTGGCTAGAACTGGTCTGATGGGGGTACGGAGTTTAGCATGGACGGCTATGCGTGTAGGGGAGTCCCTTTTGCTTCCCTTCCGTCTACAGAACTGAGAAAGCCCGAGGCAAAATCTCAAAACCAATTCTCTCTGCCTGACGAGGGCTCTTTCTGCCTTTATCCTCCCCAATCCCTTTGAGGCCTTTGACATGGTTGACCAGCCAGGCTTCACTATTCCAACAACTTGCTCGATGGACTCCGCTGCTCTACATAAGCTGCAGAACCTGTCCTATTCTATAATAATAATCCTTGCATTTGATATAGCGACTCATCACGTCACTGAGGTCTCAAAGCGCTTTGCAGAAAAAATATACTGTAAAGTGTAGTGACTGTATTTTGTGGGTGTAATATTCCAGGTTCCATGAGCCCAACATTCCCATCTTTGCTTGGCTTTACTGGCTCCCCATCCCCTAGTGGATAACACACTACATCAAATGCAATGATTATGACTTTACTGAATTCATTTATCCCCAATAATTAATATTATATTAACATAACAGGTCCACCAGCAGCTGAAAATTCTAAATACACACCATTAGGGATGTGCTATTCTCTGTTTAAAACTTTACATTATAATTTTTTTTTAAAAGGCTGATTCGACAAAGTGATCCCGTCACTATCTGTAAACAATCATGTAACGTCAATCTTGATGGAATAGAATGCTTTCCGCACAGAAAGGGACCATTCAGCCCAGCATTTCTCTGCAGGTTATTGGTCTCCCCTAAAGCCTCTTACTTTGATCCCACCCTTTGCTTACTGTTTAATCCTGTTTCTAGTTCATGTATTTAATTTTTTAAATCATTCATAGATTCAGGTTCAGCAACAACAAAATAACATTTATATAGCGCCTTTCACGCCGAGAGGATGTCCCATCAGCCATCCGGTCGCATATTACTATTTCAGGATTCAGTTGTTAACGTTTTTAAAGACGCAAAAAGCAGGAAATAATTATTGGATATGACCATTACAACTGAGAAATGACATTTTTTTTTGGGTACATACAATGATTATATATATTCTTCAAATTATTGAGTCACTCATGGAGGCACCAAGGGGAATGACAAAAATAAGTGAGTCACACTAAGCTTTGTGACAACTTCTGCAGAAAGCAAGGATATCCTCCTCCCCCTCCGCTAAAATAGGCTTGGGAATGGCACTTCGTGACTTGAGGGGAAATAAAAAATATTTTTAAAAAAAATCACAACAGTAATGCTTCAGCTGTATTTTTATACATAAATTATACACAAATTCCAAAACAGCATAAATCAAATGAAGAAAATTCCAAAAGTTTTTCTGGACACAGATTACGCTCAGCCTCTTTACTGAACTTCCCAAGCAGTAAGAAATGCCATTTTTAAAAAACAGGGATATAGAAGGTTCAGTCAATGCAGCATTCTGTTCCCAACATGTTCTCCCACTAAGAGCTTTTTAAGATGAATTTCGATCACATTGTGCATTTGCATATTTGGATCAGGTGGTTCTAAAATACTTTCATTGGGAGAAGGGTTAAAAAAACTCAGTGTATTAACTTGTTATCTCCAAATCTTCATTGCATATTTTTAATTGCTGAAAAATTCAACAGATTCCAGTGAGACATAAAAGTATCCTTGTATCCATAAAAGACTGTATAATAAGCAATCATAAAACATCCAAATTAACACAAAATAGTCACTTTACAAACATCTACAATTTAAAGTTTATACCAACTCTGGAGAATTGTTCTAATTACACATTGCATGATATCAATGCTGATATATAAATTGAATATGTATAGTAAACGCTACATACACAATGGAGGCATTGAAATCTATTTTTGTCTGGAGGCCAGTTCTGCTATGAATATGTAAGCTTGCCATTCAGTCCATTTAAAATGTTTTGGCCGGTAAGGTTTCAGTAAATTAACTCTGATACTTGACAAAAACACAAGTAAGACAAAGGATTCTAGTTTCATTAAAACAGATATATATTTGAGAAGGAATAAAAGTAGAAAACTTGAAAATGCTGAAACTCTGAAATAAAAACACTGGAAGCGTACAGCAAGTTAACCAGCATTGGACTGAGAAAAATAGACTATGTTTTGGCATTGCCTTAAATTGGAAATGAACGGGGAACTGGGAAAGGGATATCTTATATTGGAAGGCAAATAAAACATTAGAGTAGAGAATTGTTTAATAGAATTACATTATTATTAGAGGCAAATTGTGGAATGCTGTTAATGGCAGGATTAACAAAAATAGAAGCAAGTGGGACAACAGTAAGATGGTGTGAAATTCCAGTTCAATTAAAAAGAGAAAATGCAAACCTTTTAAAGTTGGAAACCTACTTGTGAGTAACTGTTTGCAGTTAAATGTTATTCTGATGTTTTACACTAAACAGAAAATAAGCATTCTCCCAGCAGCATAGGTGAACAGACGCAATTCACACATTTTAATTTTGACGGTTGAGTTGCAAAGTTAGAAGATATACAGTGGAGGGGGAAATGTATCTCGTGCTGTAGGTGAGGAGAAGGATGACTTGGTAGCTAGATGCTGAAGCTGGTGAGATGGAAAGCAAGGACCAAGAGGGATTTGTCATTGTTGTGAGACAACGGTGGACGGAGGCATTGGAAATTGGGTACCTACATTTGAAGGGTCTTTTGAATCACGTGAGGGTGTGCCTCATTGGGGTGAAAAAGGCGATTTAGAATTTTTGTGCAGAAAGTGGTAGATACTACAGATAACCTGCAAAAGGAATTGAGATTTCATTCTGGAAAATAATCTAATTAGTTGTGGATGTATAATAATGTTGACAGAAGCCTTCAGTCTTCATATCTACCCATCATCAAACTTCAGTCATCTTTCATTTTCCACCTTTGCTCCTAGATTTCTATTTCCCTTCTGTTCCTTTAATTGCCACCCTCTTATCAATATTTTAGGATGCAACAAGACGGTAGAACAAGGGGACGTAGGTTTAGAGATGTAAAGAGCAATTTCAGACAAGTATGCAAAGGATAATTAAAGAGTGGAACAGATTGCCAGTTAAAAAAAAAGGCCAGGAAACTGGATTCATTTAAAAAATAGCAGCTAGATCCAGTAATAATAATAATAATAATCCTTGCATTTGATATAGCGCTTTTCACGTCAGGAGGACGTCCCAAAGCGCTTCACAGAACACACTGTAAAGTGAATTGACTGTATATTTGTGGGCGAACGCGGTAGCCAATTGCGCACAGCAATGTCCCACAAACAGTCGTAGATTGAAAATGACCAATTTATTATTGTTTTTGGATTTGGAGGGATTATTATTAGGCGTGTGGAGTAAGGAAACTTGCCCAAGGTTTCACCCTGACCTGCCTGGAAATAAACTCAGGTCTCTCGCTTGCAAAGCGAGTGCTCTAACCACTGAGCTACAGGACTCCATGGGACGGGTGGTGGTCCTGGAAGGGTGAGATCAGATGGGTCAAAGGACCTTCTTTACCCAAATCAATCGTGGGATCGTGTGACCTATATTAGGGTCACTCAGTTTTTCTACTCATGGCAAAAGTCATGCCTGAAAATCAAGCTATTTTTCTTTTCAGATGCAGATTGACCTGTTGTGGATTTCCAGCATATCTAGCTTTATTAAATATATTTTCATAACAAAATGTACTGCATTAAATAATTATCTAAGATACCACATCTGATATTAAAACTGTATTAGGGCACACGATAAAATAAGTTTTTGCAATAAACCAGTAGTTCAGGTAATTTTCTCTGCAAACTTTAACACCATCTCCGCATTGAGTCATAATGGAAGTGAAGAATTACTTTCTTAAGTCTTCAATCATCACTGTCACTTCCAGATTCACTCAGTTGCAAATCATTTCCTGAAAAACAAGTGTTACATCCTTATGAATGAAAAATAGTTCTCACGAATATGTAAGCCAATAAAACAAAGTCAATTCTTAGATAGTAGAATTTGCAACTATTCTAGCTCATTTTAAAAATGACATTTTTTGATCAGCCATGTGTCTGACATATCCATATCTAGCATCATGCTTCAGAGTATCCAAACCAGGCTGTTTTGTGCCTGTTACCTTCACGTCTGGTGGAATGTGCACTCCCCAGAAGGCTGCACCACATTTATCCAATTCCAGAGAGGATTTGGCACAGGTTTGTAAGAGCCAAGGCTTGGGGACCCCAGAGTGTACGTTGGGGTACTGTTGGGAGTCTAACCAGCAAAACTTGTACAGCTTACCACTGAAAACACTGTCTGGGAAGCTTCCCACTGCTTGACCAGCTAGGACCACCCTAGCCATTAGGGCTTTGGCTTGACCGCAGTGTTCCTTTAATGTTCTGCTAATGAGCCAGGCTGACTGGGCTGTCATCAGGTTTGCCCTGGAGTACTGCAAACCCACTTAGTTCAGAAACTGGACTATCGAGACTACCACGGAGGGTTGACTTATCTCTGACATTATATTGCCAAGCATATCACCTTAATAATAATAATAATCCTTGCATTTGATATAGCGCTTTTCACGTCGGGAGGACGTCCCAAAGCGCTTCACAGAACACACTGTAAAGTGAATTGACTATATTTGTGGGCGAACGCGGCAGCCAATTGTGCACAGCAATGTCCCACAAACAGTCGTAGATTAAAAATGACCAATTTATTATTGTTTTTGGTTTTGGAGGGATTATTATTAGGCGTGTGGAGTAAGGAAACTTGCCCATGGTTTCGCCCTGCGTGGAATTGAACTAAGGTCTCTCACTTGCAAAGCGAGTGCTCTAACTACTGAGCTACAGGACTCCAGAACTGGTGCCAGTTTAGCTACTTTCCCCAAAGAGGACAATCCTGTATTAAAAATTTTGACCTTTAAAAAAATGGTAGGTGAGCAAGTTTACAATTAGTATAAATTGTCTGATTTGATGTCTCAGTGTACCTTGCAACACATCAGATTATTATAGTCATCCTTTACCATATATACAAAGCAATGGATGCTTCTTGAATTATAGGCAACTAAAGCTTATAGAAGGAGACAAAGGATGGGGTGAGGGAGGGGACTGTGGGATGGAGTTCCAGATGGTGGGGCAGAGAAGCTGAAGGCCCGCCGCCAATACTGGGACAGGCAAGGCAGCGGACGTGAAGCAGACCGGAGCTCGCTGAGTGGAGAGAGCAGACAGTTTGGTAGGGAGTTAGAAGGTCACATCAGTCTTAAAAGTATCAGAATTCCAAGATTAAAGTCTGTGAGCATTATGTAAATGATGTTCTTCAGATTGCACCCAAGGAATGCACAATACTTGAAGGCGAGGACCAGGAACCTGGATTTGATTGTTTGGCCAGTGGAGCCGTGCACAGGTAAGGGTGATGGACATACAGAGCCCGTTACCGGAGAGGGTACGGGCTGCAGAGTTCTGGATGGTCTACAGCTTGTACAGCTTCTGTCGAGCAGAGAGGTGGAATAATTAACTAACTTAAATTCTTCCAAGAGTTTTCTTCATGTGTCTAGCTTCACTAAGTATTTGCTCTCTCCTCCGATCTCAAATGGAATTCTCACATGTCCTCCATTGCTGCAGCTGTCTCTAGAAATCTCAATATCTATTTTCACCTAAACCGATTCTTCTCGACCTCGTGTGTTTTTCGCTCTTCAACCTTAGCGGTGGATGCCATTCACCTACATTTCTCAATTTTAAAGAAAAGGTAACAAACTTATCAAACTGTAATTCGAGCAATAAGAGAGTACTTACTGAGAGTGCTCATGAGCTGAATGCTCCCTGGTCTGCTTGTGCCATTTGAAGCAGAGTTTCGGTTGCTGTACTGCTGGTACTGATGCTGTGGTTGTGGTTGAGGCTGAGGCTGCAGTTGTGGCGGCGTAGATGAAGGCTGAGCTTCGTTTTCCACATCGCTGCTGGAGCTGTCATCACTGCCAGAGGAACTTCCTGAACCCGAGGAACTACTACTGCTGCTGCTCATCTGTTCAATGATGTCAACTTCAGCTCGCAGTTCTGGGGGAAGGAAAGAGAGAGGAGATGGGAAAAATTATTTCAGAAGTCAACTGCTCTCATTTATCTTCTTTAGGTCACTAGTCAACATGTACTAATAATAATAATCCTTGCATTTGATATAGTGCTTTTCATGTCTTCTAGACGTCTCAAAGTGCTTCACAGAATATGCTGTAAAGTAAACTGACTGTATATTTGTGGGTGAAACTACATTTTTGTTGCAAACAAGTGTGTATGTCCGTATATTTCAATTCTTGAAAAGACAACTATGTGAGCAATTTAGAACTACGGTGATCACTCAAAGGTCTGCACTGTACCTCAATGCCAATCACCATAAATACCCACATAGCTGCAAAGAGCGCACAATATCTTCTTTGCTGCACTTCTTTGTTCCATCATAGGTGGGTCCATAAAATGCCTTATGCCAAAGTGCGCTCAAGAGATGCTGGCGGTCAGTGCTTATGGGTCATGAAATCATCAATCACATAACTGTTGATGCCACTCTATTCGTGGGTGGAAAGCCGTTGGCAGCATTGCATTGCTCTAACATGAATTTAAATGTAAAGATGAGGGGGCTTGGTTTTCAGATATCAATGTTGGGGTCCACAGCCCAATCGCGATATAAATTAATCCCATGTTATAGCGAACCACATTATGGTGGAGGTTTATCACTTTGTAAAATCACCACAAAACACAAGACATCCAACAAAAATTAGATTCAAACAAAACCTTGACTTGCCGAACCTCACTGCTTTCTAGTTTCTCACATTTATATAGGACATACATACATACCTCTTTTTATGTCATCAAGTTGGGGCTCAGGTGATGGGTTGTCCTTTGATGGAGATGTTTTTGGACCAGCAATAGGCTTATTGGGGGCCCTGAATTGAGAGGAAGGCTGGGATCTTCGGGCCAGCTGCTGCTCAAACTGAGCCTGAATTTTACTGCTTCCTTCAGCTCTGAAAGAATTGGGTCATTTTGAAATGTCACACTGTGTTCAGACACCATCCATGCAAACACTAAAACAAACACAATTACCTCATGACCAGGAATTTTTAACATCAACCTGACCAAGCAGACAGGACCTTGTTTCAACTTATCATAGTACTCCCAACAATGCAATACACCCCCACTACTGCAGTGGAGTGAAACTGCATTGGAGCCTAAGCTATACAAGTTCAAAATACCGATGAACCCACATCCTTCAGAGGTGAGAATGCTATCAACACTCACAAAATACAAAGCTTGTCCTTTCAAGAGTCAAGATGTCAAATGAAGGGCGAGAGGAGTAGAGGAGTTTTGCCAGATCTGTCTCATAACTCTACCGCTGATGACAAGACATTACAGAAGAAATCATTGTGGATTGGTCAGCATAAGTGTGAATTTTTGTTCTTTCTTCACCAACTACGAGATTGCATTTATCAATTTTGTGCGGAATGGAGGGAGTCATGAACAAACTGTATACCTTTAAATATCCATTACCCATTAGTAAAGGATTGGTTATATAAAACAAAATGAAAGTCTACTTACACCATCAAACGTCCCCTAAAAACATTCTGTCAAACAAGACCTATCCATGAGACTAAAATCTCTGCGTTTAATTACAGGAGAGCCCTAAGATCTTACTCAACAAGTACCTGGACTAATCTGTGGCAAAGTTCAATACAAACAAATTCAAGATACTCTGTTAAGTACCAAAATATTCCATGATGGAATAAATCTCACCAAAGAGGAAGTTGAAAGAAATCTCAGTTGACTCATTGCTAACTATATCCAAAAACTGCGAGGCAGAAACAAACATGGAAATTGAATAGGAAGATGTGCCAATTCCATTCAAATCTTTAAAGTTCATACTGAGGAGTCATGGAATCAAACTGCAGTAAAATGAAAAGCAAAATAAAACAAGTATTCAAGGATTCAGTTAGCACACCTATGTAATCTCACCTGGTTTTTTNCACCTGTATACTGCTACTTAGTTTTTCCAGCACAAACTCCCCAGTGTCATGGTTAATGATAAGAACGCAGTCCTTCTGATATGGCCTTTTATTTTACCTTTGAACACAGTCATTGGTGGGGTGGAGCCCTGGTGAGCAACAAAAAACAGATTGGATTTTAGTTTTCTAGCATTTTGTTACCCACAGTCTGAAATTGTCAAATAGTTGATGGAATCTGGCTGAACACGTTACATTTAGAATGCAAATAGTTTACAAAAACACATAAAATGACAAAGACTGCTAACTTACTGGGATGTGTGGCAAAGTGATGGTGACCTGATCGCCTCACATGATGTATCTATGGATGCTGGTTTAAAATCATCTGAAGAGAAAGAGAAGCATAAATCAGCAGTTAGTTTTATGAGCTTATAGTGATCAGGACTGTTAATAATTCGACAGGCGGTGATAAGAGTATAGTGTTTATTCCATTAATATCAAATATATATAAGACAAACAGTAAAATTCAAAAATCATATGACCATATAACACAATAGTCCACATCATGTAATGACACAGATATATGAATCAAATAATTGAGAAACAACAGCATGCACTCAGAAATTACTCCAAACAAAACAATAAGCCTGAGAATGCACCTCAACGCACACAGCAGAGAGCAACCTCTGTAAATCCCTCAGGGACTACTGATTCTGTAAAACAAAACCTAATAGGGACTGGCGCTGGTAAACCCTCGGACACAACCAATCCTATATAAAACATACTGAGCAGAGATCATAGAACTATCACACAGAATCAGAGAGTGGCTCCTGCAAACTCAACAGAAACAATCAGCTCTTAGCCCAGCACCTCACTCGTGCTGCCTAATCTGACTTCTGGTTATCAAAAAGACCAACCACTACTACTGTTACCACTTCTCTGCCTAGCAAACAGAACCAAAAACAAACATATTACCCACTACCCCTCGTCTTTCACTTTTAATGGTCACTCTCTTACTGGAGATACATTCCCTCACCCCTATACATACATATATATATATATATATTGTGTATATATACACATCTTGGATTTATATAGCGCCCTCCATGCCGGATGGCGTCTCAGAGCGCTTTACAGTTTCACACACACACACACAGTAGAATCGAATCCATTGGGAAGCGCACTGACCCTCTGCACAAATTCAACTATTTCAAAGTTACATCTTTATTTCATGTGTTTCTGACTCCACCTCCCCTTGTCACAGAGATAGCCCCCACCCATCACGGGCTGCTTTGCAGACAGAGATATGGACGACTTCTGGGCAGCCTTCCACAGCCTACTTGTCTCTCAGCCTTGAGATAGGCAGGTGTCTGAGGCTGTAGCCTTTTCTTTCTATGGTTCATTGTTCTTACATCTATGCTCAAGGACCCGATTACTCATTATCTCAGAGGAGTGAACATCACCCCAGGAAACTATGAAATGTAATCAGAAGCTGACCTCAGCTCATCCAGCAAAGCTAATTTTAACCATATCAAACCTTCTGGAACATTCGGTTGCTGTTTGAAATATACCAAGGCATCCTGAGGTGATAGTTGGTATATTTCAACAGGACTGCATCAACTTTGATGAATTGTATCCATTCAAATTCCCATATTAATTTTCTAGCTGGTTATATCCCTTACTTTTGTTGACCCTTTTCAGAAAAAATTGGTATAAATGTTTTGCCTAGGTTGAACTAAAGTAGGAAATTTCTGCAAAATACTAGTCAATGTACTGGTCAATGTACCTAGCAAAAAGACCAGACTAGCTTTTGCAAGCTCCTGCATCAAGTAGTAGGATGGTGTGAAATCACATGAACTCAGTTTGCTTATGTTCAAACACCATACTGGTACTTTATATTCTAAAGTGACACTTGAATACAGTGTAGGGCATAGTGCTGAATTAGCATAGGTGCATCTTTTGAATGAGTCATTAAACTGAGATTCCAACTGTCTTGTTCATGCAGGCATTGAAGACTATGGCACTATTTGACATTAATCTCTTGGTGTCCGAGCCAACAACCCCCCATATAAAAAATGGTCATTCCCTTCATGATTTGCAGGAAACTGCTTTGTGCAAATTGCATTTGCTTCCAAATACAGTCAGTAAGTTTTACAGAAAGAATCTGTGAAGTGGATGGAGTCATTTTGACGTTATTATGAAATGCAAGTATTATTGTTATATTATTAATTGCCCGATCTGTGTCCACCGCTATATTTATCTAGTATTTCATAAGTTCTTTTACTTGAAATGCACTGTGAGTGTAAATGCAAGTTAATGCAACTGCTCTTTTCAATCAACACATCAGGTTTGGTCTGCCAATCCAATCTACCACAATCCTCAATGATTTTCATTAATTCTGCCTTCTTGCACCTTTGAGCTACTATCTCCCAAACAAACTGTCCACCATTGCCAAGTCCACGGAAGTGCAAGAACCTTGTTCATATGGAGCTGCTCTAAACTTGAATCAGTGCCATTGCAGTACATCACAGTTTCACAGCACACAAGGTTTGTAGATTTGTGCTTGCACATTTAAATACAAATATATAAAAATAAGTCCTTGCATTTGATATAGCACTTTTCACGTCTTCTAGACATCTCAAAGTGCTTCACAGAATATACTTTTGAAGTGAATTGGCTGCATATTTGTGGGCGAAATGCGGCAGCCAATTGTGCACAGCAGTGTCCCACAAACAGTTGTGGATTGAAGTGACCGTTTTATTATTGCTTTTTTCTTGAGGGATTATTATCAGGCGTGTGGAGTAAGGAAACTTGCCCAAGGTCTCACCGTGCTGGGAATCCAACCCAGGTGTTTCGCTGAGCTGCTCTATCAACAAACAGCAGGAAATTGCATTTACGCAGCAGCTATCACATCAGGAGGTCACGAATCTCCCATTAGATAAAGTTACAAGTCAAATTTAACTTTTTAAAATAAACAGTATTTATCCACTATTTTGGTCCCTCTGATCTTCCCATGATAAACACCATCTGTGCCTGATCTTTGGCAGAGACAAGGTGATTGGCACTCTCAGACCCGCCATATCTCAATCATTAGGACATTCATTGCAGTATAAAACGCAACGTTTTGCTATACAACAGACATAGAAAGGAAAATTTAGTGAGTTAAGTGCAATGTCCATTTGATTGATCCAAATCTCAGTCTGAGTGATTCCGCAACTTAACTTTTTTGTGAAAAACAATATACAAACTGAACCATTTCAACATTTTACACTTCCTGATCTTGATAATATTTGGTTCGAGAAAATACAGAGGGAAGGAAGCCCTCCACAAACAACTTATTAATTTGCATTACACTCCGGTCAAGCGCGAGACAGCTGGGAATGATTAACATTCACTTATTTTGGTTAAAAGTATGAAACTAATTTTGATGTGACTTGCTCCAAAATTAAACAACAACAACATTGCATTTATAAGAGCGCCTTTCACGTCGGGAGGATTTGCACTTTGTCTCTGCTGATGAACTACCCACCTGACATTTTACCCCCAACCTCACAGACAACTCTCCCACCCCCACCTTGTGTCCCCCCACCCCGTCCCCCCTTCTCCTCTCTCCTCTCTTCCTCCCCCCCTTTTCTCTCTCTCTCCCTCCCCCCTTCTCCCCTCTCCCCCCCCTTCTCCTCTCTCCTCCCCCCCTTTTCTCTCTCTCTCCCTCCCCCTTCTCCTCTCTCCCCTTCTCTCTCCCCCCCTTCTCTCTCTCCCTCCCCCTTCTCCCTCTCCCCCCATTCTCCCTCTCCCCCCATTCTCCTCCCTCCCCCCATTCTCCTCTCCCCCCTTCTCCTCTCCCCCTTCTCCTCTCCCCCCCTTCTCTCTCTCCCCCCTTCTCCTCTCCCCCCCTTCTCCTCTCTCCCCCCTTCTCTCTCTCCCCCCTTCTCCCTCTCCCCCCTTCTCTCTCTCCCCCCCCACCCCCTCTCTCTCTCTCCCCCTTCTCCTCTCCCCCCCCCCCTCTCTCTCAGTCCCTCCCCCACCCCTCCCCTCCCGGGGGCCGCACTCACAGCGGATGGTGTGGAAGGAGCTCTTGGGCCGCTTCTCGAAGCTCTCGCCCAGTTTCAGGACGTGCTCCTCTTTGCCGAGGCTGAGGCCGAGGCCGGGCTGGGAGGTGCCGTTCATGGCTGAGGCCGGGCCCGGGCCTTGGGGGGGGGAAGGGGGGGAGGAGAAGGAGGAGAAGCAGCGACGACTGCCTGACCCCGGGAGGAGCAACTTCCGCTTCCGGTGCGCGGCCCCCCCACCCCCTCTGTGACGTCACAGGAGCCCAGCGACACCCGGGGTCAGAGCGGCCTCAGAGGTAAATAGTCCTCATCACGTGGTGCTCTATACTGTCTATACTGTATCTGATACCCCCCACTCCCCCCTCCCCACTCCCTCCCCCCACTCCCCCTCCTCCCTCCTCCCACTCCCTCCCCCCCTCCCTCCCCCCCCACTCCCCCCCTCCTCCCTCCTCCCACTCCCTCCCCCCCACTCCCTCCTCCTGCCCCTCCTGCCCTTCCCCCCTCCCTCCCCATCTCCTGCCCCTCCTCCCTCCCCCTCTCCCTCCTGCCCTTCCCCCCCTCCCCCTCTCCTGCCCCTGCTCCCCCGCCTCCCTCCCCCTCTCCCTCCCTCCTGCCCTTCCCCCCTTCCCCTCTTCCTCCCTCCTGCCCCTCCTCCCCCCCTCCTGCCCCTCCTCCCTCCCTTTCCCTCTCCTGCCCCTCCTCCCCCCCTCCCTCCCCCTCTCCTGCCCCTCCTCCCCCCTCCCTCCCCCTCTCCTGCCCCTCCTCCCCCGCCTCCCTCCCCCTCTCCCTCCCTCCTGCCCTTCCCCCCTCCCTCTCCTGCCCTTCCCCCTCCCTCTCCTGCCCCCCCTCCCCCCTCCCTCCCCCTCTCCTGCCCCTCCTCCCCGCTTCCCTCCCCCTTTCCCTCCCTCCTTCTTTTCGACCGCGCCTTTGGTCACCTTCCTCCCCCTCCTCCCCCTGACTCGTTCCCAGAATCCATTACTGTAAAGCGCTCCACGCGTCCGGCGTGGAGGACGCTATATAAATCCAAGTTGTTGTTGTACATTGTTCAGTACCACAATCAAAAAGTCCACTTACCATTGAGCTCATAGCTCACATACTTGGAAAGTCACCAACTATCTGCCATTGACCATTGTAAAATACTTTGATGCCTATTTTCTTCGGATTGGGTTAACGCCTGAAATGGCTCAATTTAGTGGTTAAGTTGAAAGTTTCTTCTAAGCAGCCAAGTGCTGGTCACGAAAACGTACATCGTGTAGTTAGTCATGCAACACAAAACTGCTTAATTGTGTGCAACTAACAAGGATATTCATACAAAGAGGGGATTCTCAACTCCTGTCAGGAAACCCCTTGTGTGGGTACTAGTCAATGGGATTGGGAGATCAAAGTGAAGACCGTCCCCCCACCCCTATATGACTGGTGAAAGCTTGGTTACAGGGGAAGTACACTGTATGTAGCGACTGTTGTGTGGCTGCGACATGTAATAGTGCGGTATTAGACGTCAGGCACTTGGGCATGGCGCAGCCCGCCCGGGGTTAGACGTGCGCAGTGCTTAGTCAATTTACACAGAACTATGTGGAATGTTAAAGCACTGGATATTACTTTGTTGATCTCAGCATGGGGAGCGTGCGGTGGGGAATGACATCCTGGGATCCTGTCATTTCCATTACACAGTGACCCAATTCTCTCATCCCACTCTGCTCCTTTTAGCGAATCTTGCTTAGAGGAATCTGTTGACTCCTTGTTTTTTCTTCCTCAGGAAAATTGTTTGGATCATTTCCAGAGTATTTTTTAAAAAAACAATGGGTGACACAAAGGAAGCTTGTGTTACTGAACCACAGAGAACAGAACAGCGAAGTGATTGCACTTTAAGAGAGAAAATGGTGACTGTAACACCTTACAGGCCAGAAGCGACTTTTCAAACAATAGGACACAGTGCGAGAATCCTGGACCCTGAGGAGGCAGAAAAACTAGAAAAAGACCGGAATCTCGTGTCTGATTTTAAGCAAGAAAAACTGGAAAGAGAAGCGCAGAAGAATTGGGACTTATTTTATAAGAGAAACAGTACCAATTTTTTCAAAGACAGGCATTGGACAACTAGGGAATTTGAAGAGTTGAAAGCATGTAGAGAAGTAAGTGCTGCTGACTGAAGCAAGAGGGCATTACAACGAGGCTGAGCATTTAGACGCTGATGCAGTGATCAGTTCAGTGAAAACCTGCAGAAAACAAAAAATTGATCATTTGAAATACTTGATTATTTTGTGGTGGAAATAAATAGCATGAGAAGAATACTTTTCTTCAAGTAAATACTCTGCTTTTATTCTTTAAAACCTCTTTAACAATGTCTTGCTACTTCTCTTACTATCTTCAAGAACCTAAAAACATATCTCTTTCACCGTGTCATTGACCAACAACTTTGAATCCCTTATTTCCCTGCTTGGCAACCACCAATATATTTGTCAAGTGCTTTAAGATTTGTTAATGTGAAACAAGGAATATAAATGAAGATTGTTGTATTCCCTTGCACAATATTGATATTGACCCTTGTTCAAAATATAGCTGATTCCTTTAATTGGTGAAATGTCAGCACCTTTCTGCTTTATGGTTTTGTTATTCAGCAATATTTTAATGATTGTGTACTTAACTTTATGTGTTTCTCTTCCCTACAGTTTCCAGCTCAAAAACTGATCGTCTTGGAAGCTGGCTGTGGAGTGGGAAACTGTTTATTTCCTCTCCTGGAAGAAGATTTGAATATATTTAGTTATGCTTGTGATTTCTCCCCCCGAGCTGTAGAATTCGTCAAGGTTGGTGCATAAATGGCCCTTGTTTTTAATGACTACTAATTTATTGGTACTGCACTGTTTTCTGGCATATTTGGCACTGTTGGTGGCACATCTGGTGTTGGTGGCACTGCTGAGAACAGTGACACCTTTGTAACAAGATACTGTATTTTGTAGGTGGTTGTATTTTTTAAGTGCTTTGTAACTTTTTTTGTGTACGAAAACAAATTTTAGCTGACATAAAAATTCCCGAATAAAGTTAATTTACTTTCTCCCACATATTGCCATTGGTGTATTCCTATCATAGAATCCTACAGCATAGAAGGAGGCCCATCGTGCCTGTACCAACTCTTTGAAAGAGCTATCCAACTAGTGCCACTCCCCCATTGTTATTACTTGCTTCACCTTTTAAACTTATTGTACTTGGTAACCTGCAGCATATCATAACGCGGTCGCATTGTTTCAGAGTGAAATAAATGTAAATCTTATTTCTAAGGGTTGTAAAAAAATTGGACAAAATGTTGGAAGGCAAACACTGGATTTTACCAATTTGGGTTTCGTGATTTACTGGCAAACTTACAATTGCAAAACAGAAGTTGTAATTAGTGCACCAAATCTGCTTTGTAAATACTGTCAATTAGAACCATTATTATTGTGTATAGTTTGCTACATATTGCATAGGGCCTTGGGACGTCCTCCTGACATGAAAGGCGCTATACAAATATAATTTGTTGTTGTTATTGCTACAGTATGATGGTCGTTAATATTTCGCACAGACTTGCCTTTGTTTTGTTTTTAAAGCAAAACCCTTTATACAACCCTGAGCGGTGCAATGCCTTCCAGTGTGACCTGACGAAAGATAACCTCCTGGAGAACGTGCCAGCAGACTCGGTGGACGCTGTAACATTGATCTTTGTTCTCTCTGCCATTCACCCAGACAAGATGCAGCTGGTCTTAGAAAATATTTATAAAGTTAGTACCTAATGACACTTTCACTTCGCCTCTTTAGTTGTAATGTGCAAGTGAGGAGATTTGAAAGGATTCAACAATAATATTCCATCGACTATTTGACTCTGCTCTTCTATGATGTTAGGGCTTTGGCTTGAAGAGTTGTTAGGAGAAGAATCCCTGCCCCCAGTGCCTGGTCTGCTCCTCCCAAGTCGTGCCATCAAGCCAGGCCGACTGGTCTATCATCAGCAATGCCTTGGAGTCTTGCGGATCCAATTGCTCTAGAGCTGGACTCCTGAGTTTGCCGCGGAGGATTGACATTCCATCAGCAGACACATCACCTTGGAGCCAGCCCAGCCACAGGGAGACCCTGCTTACTTATCCCTAAGGCCTGAACAATCTGACCAAATGTCAGAATGTAAACGCTGGATTAGTGATTCACTGGCAATCTGATAACCGCAAAACAGAACTCGCAATTAATGCCCCAAATCTAGTTTGTCAATATCGTAAATTAGAACCTCGTTGTTGTTGTGTATGGTTTACTTTTAAATCATTAAATGTTGCATATTTTATGAATTAATTGTATTGTTGCACTGATGTGACATAGACGTGTCAATTCCTACAGTAGTTGAGAATCTGTTACTGCGAAGCGCTCTGAGACGCCGTCTGGCGTGGAGGGCGCTATATAAATCCAAGTTGTTGTTGTTAATGTGCTTGTTGTAGCTGAGCTGCTGATGGTTCTCTGTGTGCTTCTGGCAGGTATTGAAACCAGGTGGATGCCTACTATTCCGAGACTATGGACTGTATGACCACACCATGCTCCGTTTTAAAACCGGTCACAAACTTGGATCAAATTTTTATGTTCGGCAAGATGGAACCCGGTCTTTCTTCTTTTCCGATGGTGAGATACTGTATGTCATTGTTTAAAGAAGTGAAGGGATTTTCAACTTTGATTGAGGGCTCAGATGCACGTTGCCTATCATTCTGAAGTGTCTGCCATCTTAACATATACAGGCAGATATGTTTTAAAAAAATTATAACTTTGTCTCAGGGATCTGAAGGTGAAATAGATTTGCATAAATTGCGCAATTGGCTGCCTGTTTCACCCACAAATATACAATCAATTCACTTTACTGTACATTTTGTGAAGCGCTTTGAGATGTCTAGAAAACGTGAAAAGCACTATAGCAAATGAAAGGATTATTATTATAAAATGCTAAATTCTAGCTGTGTGAAGTTATGCTTCTGGTTCTATAGTTACGATAGTTTGTGTCAGACTGGCTAAGTTGGTAGCACTCTCGCCTCTGAGTCAGCGGATTGTGGTTCAAGCCCCATATCCTGACACACAGTCTAAGTTGACATTCCAAAGCAATACGGGGGAGAGTTCTCAAGACTTTCCTCTTTGACTGTGCTTTCGGTCATCTTTTCCCCACCACCCCCCCTAACCCCACCCCTTGAATCCATCTCAAACTCGGGTGCAAAACCTCAACTGTGTATTAGGATGACTTCCTGACGTGAAAGGCACTATATAAGTGCAATTTCTTGATATTGTATATATCTATGGTTCTATTAGGTATAACATACGGTCCAAATTAAAGATTCCTGAAGTGTGGAATATGAATTAACCAATGTGCCGGTTTCCATCCTAACCACCCGACCATTTTCAATGCCGCCCTCCCTGGCCTGGGTGTGATTTCCGGCTTGCAGATTGTGGATTTTAGCTGCCAGTTAACGCGATAGTGGCTTTTGTGAATCTCTTTTCTATAGAACAGAATAACACTAGGAAAGAGGTAGTCATCGTCACTAAGTGTATATTTTACACAGAAGCTTCTCACAGATTTTTCAGCAAGGACTGGGTCTAAGACAATATGTGTTCTAAGTATCATCACACAGTGCACTTATTTTTTGCAAGCTTTTATATAAAAAGCCACTTGCTGCTTGCAAGTTGGCTGCTGTGTTTCACCCACAAAATAGAGTTACATCACTTTACAGTATATCCTGTGAAGTGCTTTGAGATGTTTCGACAATGTGATAAGCCCAACTATATCAAATGCATATTTTTATTATATTATTATAAGAATTGTTATGCCAATTATTGCAACTTATTGTAACTTTCAGAACTGTGGATGTATGTTTCTTTCCAGAACTCACTTGTTCTTCATGTTGTCTGTTTCTTTCTGTTTTGCCAATAGAATATGTGTGTCGGCTCTTGACGGCTGCAGGATATGAATTGCTGGTCAATGAATATGTACAGCGTGAAACTATTAATAAGAAAGAAGGTCTCTGTGTGCCAAGGGTGTTTCTGCAGTGCAAATGTAAAAAGCCAAAGTGAGAAATGTAGGACATGTTGAAACACAAGGATTCTTTTTACGAGTCTAAGATGTTAGACAAGTAGTGATCTGAGGTGAACCTCAGGACTTACAATGGCCACTGGGCATGTAAGGAGAATGGAATGAAGCATCGTGATGGTGAGAAGTTGGTTTGATTTCCCAACACCTCCAAGACAGTGAGTTCCTGGCTGTGTTCTGCTCCTTATATGAACATGATTGTGTGCACATTGCCAAATTGAAATACTTCCCACTCTCTGGAACTATATTGTTTTTATAAAATGTAAAGTTACAGATGTTTGACAGAATTTTTTAAATGTATTTTGATCCGTGGCTTTAATAAAGCATTTTCTAATATGTATGTGAAAGATACTTCTTTGAATACACAGTAATAATATTTCTGAAATAGACAGGAGAAAATCATACCGTGTAATGTTACATTTTCCCAATTTATTCTACGCCACCCCCTCGTTAAAGGAAGTTCAAAAACTGCACGTGACCCAGCATTTCACATTACACAGCTACAAAAACCCAACCGGTGGAATGCCCTGCTAAATGATGTAGTAGAGGCAGAGTTCATTGTAGGTTTCAAGCAGGAAGTAAATCGGTATATGAAGGCTTGAAGGAGATTGAAATAGACCAGGCCAGAGGGATTGAAATTGCTCAAGACTTGCATTGCTGCAGAGTCAATTATGTTCTGTTTCACATTGACTCTTGGAATTAAGGCATCTGACCAGATCCAGCTCTGACCAAATTAGAGAGATGCCAGATTGACTAACTGTAAAGTCAAGAATGAGTTGACTTTTGGAATGATCAGTTTGCATTGATTTTACATGAGATTCCACCAAGATTGTGGAAATCTCACACATTTTCTACTCGGAAGGTTTATAGCTGCAAACGGAAAAGATTCACCTTCAATGACTGTTCAGATGAATGATGAAGGGAGTTTCTTCCTGTGTCCTGGCCAACAAATCCCCTGAATAAAATTGGGTTACTTCATAGATGTTTGTGGGACATTGCTATGTGCAAATTGGCTGCCAAGTAAATACACAGTCACTACACTTTACAGTAAGATTACAGTGAAGCACTTAGAGATGTCATGACAGCATAATATGCCGCTATATCAAATGCTAGGATTATTGTCATTAATGTGATATGGATCGACTATACTTTCACTTCCAGTGTTATTCAGGCACCTATTCAGTGCCAGGTTAACCCTACCTTGAATGTAATATAATAATATTAATAATCCTTGCATTTGATATAGCGCTTTATCACGCCTTTGAGACGTTTCAACGCTTCACGCAATATACTGTAAAGTCAATTGACTATTTTGTGGGCGAAACGCGGCAGCCAATTGTACACGTACAGGATATTTATTGCAGCTCTGTGTGTACTTGTGGACATGAGTTCCCACTTGGAAAAGATTCACATTGTTAATTTTGTTGAATGACATTAAAGGGATGATTATGATTGAGAGTCACGAGGTCCTGCAATACCAGCTTTTTGCACAAGATGGCCCTAGAGTTAGATGTTACTGTTGGTTCTCAGTGAAGATATAAATGTATTTTTTTACTGTATTATATTCTTTTGAGATAAAAATATTTAAGATATCTGAATGTTCATTTTTTAATGTAAGCTAAACATTTCATTCAAAAGGAAGGGAAAACCTGAGGGAACACTTTTTGTTATGAGCGCAGCGTCTTGGGGGTGCTTCACAAATTAACTAAATTAATATTCAAATTTCAGATGTTACTGAGATCCTCACTCCTCGCCCTTCATTGCTATGTCCATGATTGTCAATCTGGCAGCATGGGACAATGCCCCGAGGCTTAGTGGTTAGTGCGCTCGCCTCACAAGCGAGAGGATCCAGGTTTGATTCATGGGCAAAGCAAAACCTTAGGCAAGTTTTCTTACTCCATACACCCCTGTTTGCTTAGCAGTAAGTAGTAAACCGGTTGGTTGTCGATTAGCAGATTGTTTTCCAGGGGTAATGATCCCTCCCCCCAAAACATTTGGTCACTGAATCTACGACTGCTTGTGGGACACTAATGTGCCGTGTTTCGCCCACAAAATACACAGTGAATTCACTTTACAATATATTTTGAAAGTGCTTTGAAACGTCTCATCAACGTGATAAAGCACTATATCAACTGCAAGGATTATCAGTAATGTATTGTTGAATGTCACCACTTTGGACGGGCTGATTGGATTTAGGATGTTAGGTTCAGTCACCATTATTTTGTCTTTTCCTTGGAGCCAGTAAAAGCCAGCAGCTTGTGTGCCATCGATCCGCCCATTGTGTTTCCGACCACTGGGATCATGATTCCAACAGGGCACATATGGGAGGAGGAGGAAGCAAGAAAGTGTTTGCAAAATAACTTCTTCATGAATTCATGATTTCGGAGTACAATATAATACAAAATATTTATTTAAAATAAATCTTAACAGGCAATTTAGAAATTACAATGAAACCTAATAATGGGGGCGGGAAATAATTGAATGGTAAACTGAGTACCAATCGGTTTATGTGAATATTTAACATTTTGACAGAGACAGTTCTCTCTTTAAGTGTTTTCTTTGCAACCTCAAAATGCAAAGTTGCTTCAAAATCAGCAGGAATAATTCATTCTTGTGGGTGCTTCAGCACTGGTCAGGAGAAGCATTACCATGAACCAGCTTAAAAGGTCAGCATACACCGCTGAGGAGCTTTGCATGTGTATAATGTAAATTTATGTTAAGTCACCTGCAGCTGGTGGTTGCAGTCTCTCTATAATGAGATGGTGGCATAGAGAAACCTCATGTCAGCAATTCTATCTGTAAATTGAAATGACAGGCTAGCTAAATCGTGCCCAGCCTTAATGTAACTGGCAGACATTCAGGTATTGTTTACAGTATATTGATTTATTTGGCATTCTGTCAAGTGACACTGAAAGATCCCAAATGATCCCAAAACAGCCCACTAAAGTATATCAAGTGGGCCGGTTGCTACCTTTGTAAGCCATGGTTGCCATCTTTGTGCATATGTGTGTGTGTGGCAGGGGCACTTACAAAAACATTTTAATGCAGTTCCTTAAATAAGAAATGGAATGTGTTTGAGAATATTGAATTTTTTACCCCATAGGTATGTGTATATAATTGCTGTAGCCACAATGGTCCCTTGCTTACTGGATATTTTTATCCAGGTGGGGGCAGTGAAATTCAAATTGAAACTCAAAAGAAATGAAGTGACGATGTCATAGAAAGGGCTTGACTGTTCAAGACATGCATCGCTGTGGAGTCAATTAAACCCGACCTTATGAAAAGTAAACAGCAACAATATATGCTTGGCAGAACAATTTATGTTATAAGCGCTTGGATGTTTAAACCAACTTCCGGCCCACCACAAAATACTATTTATTTATTACACAGATACAAATGAGTCATTTGATGCAAATTGTCATTGAAACACAGCAGGATTCCAACATTGATATCCAGACCCTAATAATTTTTTATATGAACAGCTTTCTGGCACAATTTTTATCCAGGTGCGGGCAGTGAAATTCAAATTGAAACTCAAAAGAAATGAAGTGACAATGTCGTAGAAAGGGCAGAGACAGATGCTTATCTGGCTGGGATGCATTATATGCATGAATGAGACGATGCCAGAATTCCATGTTATATCTCAAGAAGGAAACCAGAAGGGAAAAGGAAGCAAAGTGGAGAGGAAATACAATACAGACATATGCTTGATTAAAAATATCAATGGCATTTATCTTTGAACGCGATGCTTTTTGGCATCTCTTGTTATTGAAATACTCCCAGTTTCCACCCACGGCACCAGCACCACTGCTGGTCTCGACAGACTGTCTGACAGTCTTGATGAGCTTTAATTTCCTTCAAGTGAATATTTCACAAAATTGACCCAATCCTGCTTGGCCCACCTTCTCCTGCCTGCTTACTCTAACTTGTGAAGCCAGTGCACAGTTTTAGTCTTTTGACTGGATCTTAGGTCCTGTAAGTGCGGGCAGTCTCAACTCTATGATTTCCAGTAACGATCGTGGCCAGGGTTTGGTTGTTTTCAGCTTTCGGACACTATGACCCAACCCTCTGAAACTGCCTGCTTCAATCGCTCCACCTTATTCCCTCCTTCCCTGTCTTCAGATCACTCCATATCCATCTGTCCACTCCCTCCGCTCAGCAGGCTCTGGCCTGCTCCATGTCCCCCGCACGGCCTGCCCCAATAATCGGCGGTCAGGCCTTCAGCCTCTCTGCCCCCATCCTCTGGAACTCCATCCCTCAGTCCCTTGGCCTTGCTCCCTCCCTTTGCCTCCTTCAAGGCATGTCTTAAGACACAATTTGACCGCGCCTTTAGTCACCCTCCTACCCCACCTTCGGTCAACCTCCTACCCCTATGCTCCCTGCCCTCCACCTCTCCACCCCTCCTGACCCCAAACCCCCAAAGCGAAAGGCGCTATACAAATGTCATTTGTTGTTGGGTAATTAGTTGCTGAACCCTTTTCCCTTGGAGTGATGAGTTATCAAGATTTTTCTGTATATCAAGTAGAGAAATATTGAATTATAAAAGAGACTTAGGGTGACATTATTGGAGGAAGATTGTGCATAACAATCCTATTGGGATCCTTTGAAGAGAATAAATCTTGTGATAATGAGAACTAAGCGGATGTTATATATTTTAATAAAGCTTTTTACGCAATGCCATGCAGGAGATTGGGTTAGAAGCAGGGTATGGGGAGGCTTTTGAAGGGGATCGGAAATTGGTTGAATCATAGGCAGAGATGGATAGTTGTATATGGAGCTTCAACAGGCAGAAATAAGTAATGGGGTGTCTCAGAGCTCAGTGCTCAGGTGATGCTCTTTATTCAGTACGTAGAGGATTTGGAAGTGGGGAAAGAAACCAAGCTATCCTAACGTTTTCTTTTTTGTGGCTTGTTACAACAAGAACAACAACAACCACATGGATTTATTTAACTCCACGCCGGATGGTGTCTCGGAGCACTTTACAGTAAAAAGGAGGAGGCCAGACCAGGAGGAACGAAGGCAACGGGCACTGTTTTGAGGAGAGAGGAGGTCAGAGAGGTAGGGGGGTGCAGAGGAGTGGAGGGATTTGAAAACAAGGGTGAGGATCTTGAATTCAATCCTCTCTGGGATAGGCAGCCAGTGCTGTCTGGCAAGGACTGGGGTAATCGGGGAGCGGAGTTTGGTGCGGGTGAGAATGCGGGCAGCAGAGCTTTGAATAATCTTATATTCTGAGGCTGTAGGGGAAATTAGAAGTGCAACACAAATGCAAACGATGGT